CTGCATCAGTGTCCGCTAACAGCCACTCAATCTTGTAGGAACAACACCAATTTGTGATGACATCGGCAGACACATCCTGAACTACGGACGGCGTATTCCTCTTGCAGAGTGGAACGCCCGGATCGACGTAAGATAGAACTATGTTGGGCACTTGCTTCCACTGCTGCAGATCCGTTTAAAGCCAAAGCTCTCCTGTTTTAAGAGGTTTTGCTTTACTCCTCTCCTTTCAGGCTGTAACTCCTAGGATGGTGCGTGACATCTGCACCAAATATATCTATGATAAGTGTCCTGCCGTGGCAGCTGTCGGTGAGTTCTGTGCCCTTGTTATTCTGTACGATCATAGCCGGTACTGTGGTACCCTCTCTAACCTGCCCTGTCCTTGTCTCCGCCAGGTCCTATTGAGCAGCTCCCTGACTACAACAGAATGCGCAGTGCGATGTACTGGCTCAGGTTTTAGGAAAAGATCAGTTTGTCCCATTTCGTCCTCCACATGTGAACGCCTCAGTTGTTTTAACAACACAAGCAGCCATCCTCCCTCTCTTCTGCCTGACTTCCTTTTTTATCGCACCCACCCTGTCCCTAGTTAGCCTTGAGGGAAGCAGCAGCAGGTACTGATCATCTGAAACTTTGTTGTGGAGAAAACTACAGCGAGGGCACACTTGAATTCGTGATAAATAACTTCATAATGCAATTCAGCCAATATTCAGTATGACCAGGCTGGGCAGCGAGAGATATTTATACCTTCTGTAAGCATTTGTTTGATGTCCACTATTGTACATACCAGAAACTGTCATTCAGACACAAATTAAAACAATAAACCTTTAGTGAGTCGTTTTATTCCTGGTGTGTCCAAAGTGTGGCCCGGGGGCCATTTGCAGCCATTAGAATGATTTTGTGCGGCCCCCGACTACAATTCAAGAATGGCATAAATTTAGTTTGCCAACTATGGCGATTGATACAAAAAGTGTTTGGGTACAGTTTTCACTGATGTGACGCCTTTCAAGAAAGATGCAGACAAAAGGTGCAACACAAAGTATTCATCTTTTATCAATCATGTCTTTTGCTTTTAAATTAATGTTGTAAACAAACATTACATAAACAAACACCAAGTGACTTTCACTGAAGTAGACTCAGACACCGATTAAACTTGGCCAAATAAAGCAAGAGTGAGCCATATCTTCTAATTGCTGCTGATGTAACACAAAATTCTGAATTGAACTTAAAATATTGTTTTTATGGAACAAGTAACTGTGGAAAAAAAAGATCAGCAATTTTAATAAAATACTTGTAATATATTTGCTCCAATTGCAAAATCAGTCATTTTCTATCGCTTATTCCATAGTGGGTCACGAGGAAGCTGCTGCCTATCTCCAGCAGTCTATGGGCGAGAGGCGGGGTACACTCTGGACAGGTCGCCAGTCCATCACAGGGCAACACACAAACAACCATGCACACACTCATTCTCACACACACACCTAAGGGCAATTTAGACAAATTAACCTAACAGGCATATCTTTGGACAGTGGGAGGAAGCCGGAGTACCCGGTGAGGGAGAACATGCAAACTCCATGCAGAAAGCCCCCCGGCCAGGAATCGAACCCAGGACCTTCTTGCTGCAATTGCAAAATTATTTATTCTATTGGGTGATGCCCTATAGACACTTTGCCATTTCATAAGTTTTCAGTTTATCCTTGCTCTTTTCAATAGAGCAGTCTGACGAGGGAGGTTTTAAATGGACTGAACTTGTACAGCGTCTTCCAATTATACCGACCACTCAAAGTGCTTTACCCTAGAGCCACGTTCACCCAGCCAGCCTGCAGTCTGATGCTTTACAGACATGTTGCTCATAGTTTACCAACTGTAGTTTTAAAACACTATTACCTTAATAATAGTGGTGGATAAGACTCCTTTCCACTCCATGGATATGTTTTACCAATGCACTCCCAACCTCCAAATTAGAATTTATCCTTAGGAGAAAAATGTGAGCATTTTTTTCTGCCAGCTGACCAGTAGTGCACAGCAACTGGTGGGAAAGGGCCGGACCTGCGTCACTGTAGTATGCTCATACAACTGAAGGCAACTTTGGTCATCATAACACTTTGTCTGGGATTTTCATTTAAAACACTGTACAGAAGAACAGTTTTACATCATATTTAAGTGGTTTTCTAATTATGTCTTCTTAAAAACACAGCGTGCCTTCATCTAGGTAACAAACTCACTCTTCTATAAGGAAATATGGTTATATGACTCCAATAAATTGTTTGCACCCGCTAGAGGTCACTAGAGGTTTTTTTAATATAACGACTGATCATTATCTCCCTTATAAGTGTCAACGTAACCACATCTAATGGATATTGGTTGTGGTCCCAAGTCTTAAGAAATTAATATGCAAATAAAATATACCTGAGAGAGCTTTTCATTGCTGCTTTATGTGCATAATTCATGAAAATGAAAAATACGCAGAGTTAAAGTACATAAGCATGAACAGGAAATATGGAAGCATAAAATGATGACGTGGGTTCGAAATAGAGGAGTGAGTTGACCCAAAGTCATTTAGCACTAAAGTGTAAGCCATTTCAAAATATCAAACTGTTTTTCAAGTTTGTTGGTGTGTAGTAGACCTACTGTAGGTCTCTTTCAGTTAGCATGTTACATATTACTTTGAATATGAATACATATTTTTGAATATATATATATATATATATATATATATTCAAAGTAATAAATCCAGAAAACTTCTATACAGTTTTTTTACTTTTACAGAATAGAATGCAATATAATTCTGTATTGCCATTGCCACAGGAACAGAGAAACTGAAAAATTAGAATATTTCAGTTATCCCAATTTTTCCTAGACACATCTTCAAATTTGGTTGCATTCAGTAGCTTTGGTTTTTCTTCCATCAAATAGTAGGAAGAAAATAAAAGTATATTTGCTGCACTTGCTTTTGATTCTCAGTGGCTACAAACTTTGTGCTCCATTTATGTGTCACTATTGTGGGGCTAAGTGCTTGAGGCCCTAATTTTACATTTGGACTTTTGTGGGTCTTTCAGAAACTGATTTCTTGTTGGGGTTTTTGTGTGTGTAAAGGTGAGTTTGTCAGATTATTTTCTTCTTGTTTTAAAACAATCTGTGAGTCAGTTTAATGAAAGCACGGTGATTCCATTTTTATTCCAGGTTTTGTAGTTTTTGTTTTTATGACCATCTGTCATCTAATGTTTTTTTTTTTTTTCAGTAATATTTTCCCTGATTTATATACTTACAATGCTAGTAGATTTTGACAGGGGTGTTATTTTTGTTTTTCTAATTCAATCAAGATACTCATAATGTGACGCTTCACAGAATAAAATAGCATACTGTGTCATTTCCAAAACAATAACATTGAAGTGTCTCTTCTCCTGTGTAAAAACGTTAAAAGCAGTCAGTTATAAAATACAAATAAATTATTTCCAGTGAAGAAGAATCTATTTGCAGTAAAGACAAAGAGGCATTGGGACTTTCTGACAGATTTTACTTATTGCACAACTTCCTCTAAAATCAAATGACAACCATTAATGATGGTTACTCTGTGCAATCATTTTAATAGTAAATGAATTAACTGCCATAAAAGGTTAAGATGAAACCTGCTCTGCCGTATTTTATCTTTCATATGATGATGGGTTTCTCAGGTCACTGTGTCTCCTGGGTCATGTTGGGTCCATGACAGTCGTGCTGCCGGTACAACCCTCTACATTTATTCATCGCATTGACATTTGCATGACTGTTATTGGTTAATCTCGGCATTACTGAGATTAGCCCTTGGTCGTCCAGGGCCTAAATATTGGTCCTGTTCTGTATTTGTAACCTTCACATCATTAGTTAGATGAAGAAAAGTCCTTTGATAGGTTGGACCTGAAGTGACTCAAGACTCAGGGTGGCCTTCGTTGTCTCCCTTCTGGGCCTGCAGGCTCTTCCTTTTCCTGCTTGTTCACCTCGGGACTCACCCTGCTGCCGGTTCATTGTCCAGCCTCCATGTATTTATTATTTAGAACGCCATGAAATCAGTGTCCAGCATCTGGATGTATATAGTTTTGCAAAGGTATTCATCCCTCTTCCTCTTTTTCACATTTTGTCACGTTGCAGTTACTCACTTTAATATATTAGGATTTTTGTGGCAGTAACAAAACATAGTGTATTTTCTTTACAAATAAAAACCTGAAGAGCGCGGTGTGCAGTTGCAAGTGTATTGGTGTAAGTCTATACCAATTTTGCATATCTACAGTCGAGCTCAGTCGGATTGGTTGGGTCTGTCAACAGCATTTATCATGTCTTGGTAAAGGTTCATGTTTGGATTTAAGTATGGACTTTGACTGGATCATTCTAACATGCAATTTCTTGTCACAGCTTCTGAATAGTATTTAGGTCTAAACTTTGACTAGGCAATTTCTTATCTAAAGTATTTCATTGCATCTCAGGCTGTATATTTAGACTCGTCGTCCTGCTGGAAAGTGAACCACTTCCCCAGTCTCTAACAGGTTTCCTTCCAGGATCGTCTTGTATGTGACATCCTTCTTCATATCAACTGACCAGCTTCCCTGCTGAAGAAAAGCCTCCCCACAGCATGATGCTGCCATGCATGTTTCACTGTGGGAAGTTGCAGTGTTAGATTCATGACACTTATTTGCCACATTCCTGAACATGTTTACTGTGTCCCCTACATGTATGTGGCCAACTGTAAACCGGATTTCTTAAGGCTTATTTAAACAACAGCTGTCCTCTTGCCACTCTTCAATAAAGGCCAGATGTGTGGAGTTCACAGCTAATAGTTAACAAATTCTCCCACCTGAGCTGATGATCTCTGCTGCTCCTCAGGAATTACCGTGGACCCCTTGGCTGCTTCTTTAATTAATGTTCCCCTTGCCCAGCCTCTGATTTTTGGTTGGATGGCCATGACCGTGGCTTGGTAGGCTTGGAGGCCGCCATACTTTTTCTATTTTCATGAGATGGACTAAACAGTGGGCTGCAGGGTGGCGTAGTTGGTAGCACTGTTTCCTTGGAGCAAGAAGGTCCTGGGTTTGATTCCCGGCCTGGGGTCTTTGTGCATGGAGTTTGCATCAGTCCCTCCGTGCATGCGTGGATTCTCTCTGGGTACTCAGACTTCCTCCCAGAGTCCAAAAACATGACTGTTAGGTTAATTGGTCTCTCTCAGTTGCCCTTAGGTATGAATGGGCGTAAGCACGGTTGTTTGCTCTGTGTTGCCCTGTGAATACTTTTGCAGTTTTTCTGGCTCTTAAAGCACAGAGCTGGTATACACTCACATAGTAGTATTCCCACATTCATGTGTAAAAATGTCACTTAACAGCTGATCAAAATAAATAGATATGTAGTTGTTTCAAATCATTCTGTTCCCTCCCTTTTCCTGTTTATATAATACAAAATATAAATCACATCTTTGCTGTAAATCAGCTGTGATAAGTTATTATATATATATATATATATATATATATATATATATATCTGCTGCAGCTCATTGATGCTGAACTCCTGATGTGGCTTTGTGCGTTGACTCCAAACTGAAGCAGATATCCAATTAATTAAAAAGAAGCCATTGTGATTAGCATCATGTTATTTTTAGAAGGAGAACGACAGCAGTTGGAGTGCAAAGGAAGTGAAATGAAAAGAAATGAGGGGAGGGCACCCGGGTGTAAGGATGGAAGAGATAAACAGAGAGGGGTTAGACGCAGTGTCTCAGAAGAAGACCAGAGAGGCTGAGGACGAGCAAGTTCAGAGGAAGATCCGACCGTGTGAAGCGCAGGCTGGAAGAAGCCAGAAGACGGAGCACACAGCTGATTCAAAGAGAAGCAATCACCACCAGAGGAGCAACAAGTGCCTTTTTGTTTAGTTATCAACACTTCTCTTCTGAGTGAGTACTGATTATCAGCACCTTTCACAAACTTTATGAATGGAAGAAAATGCTACATAATTAAAGTTAGACAAAAGTTATTCATGCTTTTAATGATTTGCATTAAAAATATAATTAAAGCAACACGTGAAAGCTCCTCCATATTGTAAGGTATGCTTTTGTCACATATCCAATTTTTTAAAACTTTTTTTTAAACCCTCCTGTTCTCATTCGACACAAATAAAATGGTCCCCTTAAAAGCTTTTCATAGAAATATTATGTATCAACATATTTTTTTTATAAGTGAATGGCATTTTTAAGAAGTATTAACAACTTTTCTGCAATTTTAACCTTTCAAATGGCAGTTTTAGCAACTGAAATCTCTTACTCTAAAAAAAGTGCTTTTTCCTCTTATTCAATATATACAAATTAAAAAAAAAAGCTGTAAAAGGTTGTTTATTATTTCCCCTTTTATCTATGAAATCTGGTAGATTTACAGGTAAATGAAAAAATTATGAAACTTTAAAGGAATTTCAGCAGCAGGCAATGGGAAAAAAAACAAACAATACAAATTGCACAAAAAGTACAGAAGGAACACAGAGTTGCCGTTTCAGATATGAAAGACTCGAAGGAACAAAAACATAAAAAAATAAATTTCACCCAAAAATACACAGTCTGCTGAAATTTTAAGATAAGAATAAAATAATTTAAAAAACATCCAGAGAATAATGAGGGATCCTTCTTTAGCAAAAATCCCAACTTTTCTCTTGCAAATCTTCATCTACTGATACTCTGCAGTATCCCGGCTGTGTAATTTGGATCCAGTTCTCTCTTTGCAGAAATTGCTGACCATGAGGAGTGTGAGTGTGTGTTTCTGCCTGGCTCTGCTGCTGCCTTGGTGTGTTCAGAGCCAGATGAGCCGCCCATCCCTCGCCCAGCTTGACGAGGACACACAAAGAGACATCCTGGCCGTCGACATCCTGAACCGCAACGGTGTGTTGAACTCACTGCTCCGCTCAGAGCATCACCTGGTACTCAGGCAGGCAAGAGCCCCACGCCCAGCTTCCCGGGTGCCCAAGAGAGCTCAGCAGGGCTCCCGCTTCGCCCTTTCCCTGGATGTCCCCACCAGCATCCTCAGCGTCCTCATAGACCTCGCCAAGAACCAGGACATGAGGACCAAAGCAGCGGCCAATGCAGAACTCATGGCAAGAATAGGCAAGAGGAAATGAACATAGCTGCGGGGGGATCCAGAGCCGGCCCAAGACATAGGCAAATAAAGCTGCAGCTAAGGCTTCAAAACCATCAGGGGCGCCCCCAGAAAGCTTTTATTTGCAAAGAGAACACAGGTCTTAAATTTCATTTTTAAATATTAACAATTAGTATACTTTTATGTCTGCTCAGACAGTTTGAGACTTAAAAAATATTCAAATGTAAATTCAAAATCCAAATTAAAAAATACATTTTAAATTTAAACATTGTTTTCTTATGATCATTTAATTTTGTTTATTATTTTATTTCAATTGTAAATAAGTAGTCCAGTGCAGTTCAACATTTCTGCCATGAAGGCCCAAATATTTATTTTAGCTGTACGGGCAGGCCCAAAAATGTTTTTTTTTTTTTTTTTAATCTAAACATGGGAATAATTTTACTCAAATTTTTTTCACCTCCTCAACAATAACCTATTGAATGATATGAACAATGTGAACAATATGAAAGTCAGATTTTTGTAGAAAAAGGATCATTGTAGAATTAGATCATCAAAATGATCACAGTAGTCTCAGCTGCAGGAACAGGATATGGCTCACTCTAGTCTGATGAATAGTTGGGCCCAAGTCTGCTTTTAGATTAAATTTAACAGATGAAATAAAAGCAAAAAACAGGGTTAATAAACAATCACTAATCTGTGTCATACCCAAAATTTTCCATTTATATAAGTTTTTAAGATTTCTCTGCAATGTTTTTGAAAATTCTATGCTAAAAATAAAAAAAACAAACAAAGGCAATCTGCATCAACCGCCTGTGCTTGGGGGCCAAATTTAAACCGTCCTTGAGTTTTGGCCATGAGCCTCATAAATCTTTCTAAAGTAAAATCATTCACATGGCCCCAGGATCCCACTTTAGACACCACTGTGCTAGATGTAAATATACATGCCCCTCCTTCCCTACCAAATTTGTATTGAAACTCTGTTACTAATGGCTGGTTGTTGATGGGCTTGACAGGAAGTAGGCCCCCCGAATCAAATTCTGCTCAAGGCCCTATGCAACCTTGGGCCGGCTCTGGGAAAATCTAAAATGAGACTTTGTGACATAGATCTTTGTTTCAAACTAGGTAAAACCTGTCATTAAGATCAGTGTTTGTTCTATTCAACTTTTTCTACTTGTGCTAAATAACTTAAACTTCACTTCCTGAAGTGACTTTGGAATCCAAATATTCTCACAGATTGATGTAAATAAGTCACATGCACATGATGCTCCAAACCGTGTAAACATTGGTGGAAGAGGCTGGCGTTTTGTTAGAAACATTACCCGCCACCGGGCCATGCACTGTGGTGGGAAACAGCGTCTCTTGTGTTTGCATGTGTGATCTTAAGTTGAAGGAAAAAGTTGTTCAATTAAATCCAATGTGATGATCATGGTTCCTCCTCAAGTCTAATTCATTTCAGTGTTGATATCGGTCATGCTTAGTGTAATTACAAGCATCAGCAGCCCGTAAAAGCCCGACTGAATGAGCCTGCGTCACCCACAGCAGTATCTGATGTGTGATAGCAGGACAAAGGCGTGGGCAGGATATTGACCTCTGAGGGAAGAGCAGATGCTTTCTGTGGACCTTTGTTGATTAATACTTCATACATTTGGCCAACATGCCGCAGCTATTTTAAGTTAGATGCATTATCTACTCTTGATTAGGCGAATATCTGCGGGGATGAGTCATCTGTGCTCCTGCACTGAGCAGAAGATTTGAAGCAACAGGGGGAAACAAGCTGCTCATCTGATTCATGTTTAACTTGTTCTGTTTTAAGCTGGCCGTGGAATTGAATTATTTCATTTTAGAGTACTGCAGCTTTAATTATGGAGAAAGAGGATGTAAATATAATGGATTAATATTCTGCAGTTCATAGAACTGAAAAAGTAAAACACTCGTGAGCAAAGATACGGTTCCTCGTTGTCACACCCTGTAGACATTAGTTTATTTGAATGGGATTCTAAGTGACAGACCAACACAGAGTTGGGAAGTGAAAGGAAAATGATGCATTGTTTTCAAATGTTCTGAAAGTGCTGTGCGCAGGTATTTATCCCCCTTACATTAATACTTTGGAAAACCATTCTTTGCTGTGATTAGAGATACAAGTCTTTTAGGGGTATGTGTGAAACAGCTTAGCACATCGAAAGAATATTTTCTTTATTCTTATTTACTTTTTGCCCAATATTATTTGTAATATAAGTGAAGGTCAGTCAGATTGGATGGAAAACATCTGTGATCAGCAAGATTCACAATTGTATTCAGGTCTTTACTTTGACTAGGTCATTTCTGACAACAAATCCTTTGATCTAAACCATTCCATTGTAGCTCTTGTTGTTTGTTTAGGGTCATTGTCCTGCTGAAATGTGAACATCCGCGTCTAACAGGTTTTCTTTCAAGATAGCCCTGTTTTCAGCTCCATCCATCTTCACATTAAATCTGACAGTATTCCCGTAGCATGATGCGGCTACCACCGTGCTTCACTGGAGGGTGTGTTCAAGGGCATTTGCAGCGTTGGTTCTCCGTGACACATACCATTTTACATGTAGGTCAGGAAGTAAAAATTTTCTCTCATCTGATCAGAGCACCTTCTTCTTGTCACTCTTCCATAAAGGCCAGATTGTCTGAGTAATAGTAAATAGAGCTGAATACAAATTCTTGTCACAGTTTTTAGATTTCTACTTATATATTTTTTAAATCTTGTATCATTATCTTTCCGCTGCAGAGTTATGCACTACATTGTGGTAGTCCATTTTATTGGGATACGACATCTTCCCTTTCTGGCAATCAAAAGGCTGAATCATAAAAATCTCACAGCCTCAGTGAATTAAAATGTTCATATAGGAGTCTGCAGAAGGTAGTGCAGACAAAATAAAATTTGACTAGAAAATCCATATGGGTTCATACCCACCTTTTAAATGAAAGTTTAAAGGTCAGGTCAGTACGGAACTTAGTTCATTGC